TCCCCAGAGCTAATGACGTAAGTCATTACCGTCGTTTTATTTAAAACACCAAGAACTCACCAGATGGAGATAAATTCTGCTAGGAAAGTTGCTGTAGCCACTGGTTTGGTGCAGCTACCAGGACTTGGATTGTCCTGGGTCTTGGGAATTATTCTAATGTTATTCTGAGATTTTGATTCATGTCAAATGTGGAGAATTTTAAATTATGAAAGTATAAATTCTTCCTAGAATTACATCCTGGAGTTTAGAGATTTTCAGCACATGTGATTTTGTGTATTTGATGTATAGCAAAGGTATGCTAGTTCTACTTCTGTTTCGTGCTTCACTCTTTGGCGGACCAATGAATAATGGAACAGTGATGATAAGATAATTACAATCACGGGAAATGATAAAAAAAATCAGAGATGTTCGTCGATACTGACATCAGTCTAGACATAACAGCTAATATATACTTGTACACATAATCCATTCATTGTCTCCATTCAAATTATCCACAGGTGGTCATTTCTAGGAACTGTCAGGACTTATGAAGACGACCATAGTTATTGACATTACCGAGTATCACTATCAGCGAGATTACCTGTAGGAGTCTGCTCAAACACATGCCATCAAAACTCTTGCTTCCGTAATTCTTGAGTCATACTTAGAATATGGCTGTGTGTAAAGAGAACCATTGGATTTTGTCAGTGAATACATGACAGATTGCAGAAGAGCACATATTTCAGTGGGTGTTGGAGAGAAAAGAGAGAATTCTGCCCAAGATAACTGATATAAATCTTTCGAAAATCTAGTATCCCAGACATGGAAAATGGAGCCCTCCATCAAGGTGTTCAATGAGCCTTCCTCTCTGACTTAGGCTGACACTACCTTCTTCTGTTTCTCTGTTTATTCCTAGGATGCAGTCCCAACAGTACCTGCAGCAGCGTCGAAAATTTGCAGCCGCCTTCTTGGCATTCATTTTCATTTTGGCAGCTGTGGACACTGCTGAAGCTGGGAAGAAAGAGAAACCGGGTAAGCAGGAGGGTTATGAAGGCGGGACTCTTCACTGATCGATGTCCATCTAAGCCGACTACCTAATTTTTGCCTTTCCTCTCTCCCTCTCTCCCTCCCTCCCTCCCTCTCTCCCTTCCTTCTTTTTTCCTTTCTTCCAAGTATTTAGAGGGACATAAATGATATTCCCTCTCATTTCCCCCCCATTGTAAGTCCTGAAATATAGATAATGATCTATTATGATCATTATAGACAAGTAGCACGTTAGCAGCTACTAAGTACAGAACACTGACCAGCAATCGGGTGTTTTACTTATGTTGCCTCGCTCTTCAAAAGTGTCCTTCGAGAAATTTTTGTTTTATCTCATGTGAATAAAAAAGGAAACTGAAGCTCAGAAAGGATAAAGCACCTTTTCTGTAACTCCCAATGCCTTCAATAGTGTGTGGAGCTGGAAGCCTGTTTACTCTGTGACCCACCACATTTCTATTATGCTATTCCATCTATAAGACAGAAAGGAACATCGACTTGCATTGAAAAGCTAATCTGACAGCCGTTACTTCTAACAGAATGTTTTCTCATTTCTTAAGTTTAACCGTTTCTGACCATCTTCTCTTTTACAGAAATGTTTGCTTTGGAAAAGAGATGTCAGTAAATCATTGAGCACAGTCTCTGGCACATAATAAGAGTTACATTAATATTAGTTCTAGCTCCTTGCTCAGTCTTCCTTCTCTTGGTCATTCATTCGTTCAATCGTTCAGCTAACACCTATCAAGTTCCTACTACTTACTGGACACGGAAAACAGAGGTGAAAAGCACAGTCTCCGTAATTAAGGCACACAGGAATGAACTTGGTTATATCTAGGAGTTAAAGAGTGTTTTGGATGTTGATTATTTTTGGCTCTAGAGAAAAAAGTGAAGAAGTCCGACTGTGGAGAATGGCAGTGGAGTGTGTGTGTGCCCACCAGCGGGGACTGTGGGCTGGGCACCCGGGAGGGCACCAGGACTGGAGCTGAGTGCAAGCAGACCATGAAGACCCAGAGATGTAAGATCCCCTGCAACTGGAAAAAGCAATTCGGAGGTGAGTCCCACCGCGGTGGTCCTGTTGAGTTAACCTTCCATCTGAGATCATTCTTGCTTTCTTCTACCCAAGGTTTTTCTGATGTTGACTACCATTTATTTTAAATAAGTTTATTTTGTCAGGTGCACGATAACCAGACATCTTACCTAACCCCAGGGTTTCTCACTTTGGCACTACAGCGAGTCCTCAAATAAAGTCCTTTGGTCAACTTCATTTCGTTATAACTTTGAAGAGGTGCCATAGGAAATTATGCTGAGTGGAAAAAGCCAACCTCAAAAGGTTGCATTCTGTTTGATTCCATTCATATCTTAAGATGACAGAATTGTCAGTTGGAGAATAGAATAGTGGTTGCCAAGGGTTTTAAGGAGATGGGAAGGAAGGAAGATGGATCAGCTAGAACTGTAAAAGGATAACCCAAGGGACCCTTGGTTGTAACTGTTCTGTGTCATAGTGGTGACGGTGTTTAGTTGTGTCTGCACATAGGATGAAGTCACATAGAACTAAATGCACACACACACGACTATGTAAAACTGGTAACACCTGAATAAGTTCGGTGGAATGTATCCATGTCAATTTCCTGGTTGTGCCACCTGTCTGTACAGCTATGCAAGATATCGATTGAGGGAATTGATATCTTGTTCTGTAGTTATTGCTATTTATTGTGTATGGGATCTCTCTATATTATTTCTTAGAACTGCATGCGTATCTACAACGATCTCAACACACACACAAAAATTAAAAACAAAAGTAGATCTTTCTTTTCACGGCACTACAATAGGATCTCTCAAAGATTTCCGTTTGGTCTCACCCTGCCTTTTAGCGGAATGCAAATACCAGTTCCAGGCCTGGGGAGAATGTGACCTCAATACCGCCCTGAAGACCAGAACTGGGAGTCTGAAGCGAGCCCTCCACAACGCTGACTGCCAGAAGACGGTCACCATCTCCAAGCCCTGTGGGAAGCTGACTAAGCCCAAGCCTCAAGGTAGCTACCCACCCTTACACCACAATTCTAGTATGAAAGCGTTGATGGGCTTAAGCAGGAAGTCTTAGGTGTATTACCTTAAGAAAGGGATTGAAAAAGCTTCCCCTTCCTTATATTGAGCATCTCACAAGTCCTTTTCAGCAGGTGATTGATGGGTTCAAATTGAAGTCCTCTGCATGGATGGAAGGAATTGGAACAGGCTTCTAGCACAAAGAAACCAGCTCAGCAAAACAGGTCAATTAAGAAAGTTGTATGGTGACTATACATTCCAAGCCCTAAGCTGGGACTACATCCTAGCACGTATGAACACACTGTGAAGATCGTGGGGCAGAAAATTTAAAATCAAGTCTCTCCTGGATTTTCCAACATATAGAGTTTTCATAAAATCAGCTAAATTATTTTATATTTTTCCTTTTTTCACCACATAACTCAATAGGTTCTGTATTTATTATACTTCTTTCATAGCCTATAACAAAAGCCTATAAATGTATATATATATATACACACACACACACACATACACACATCTATACACACATCTATACATATATATATTTTAGTAAGATTAGCTTACATAAATATATATATTACTAAGATTAGCTTACAACTACACTTATGGAATTTTTAAATTATGTAGAGCTATCTTTCTATTCATTTCCAGAAAGTCAGACAGACTCTGCCTATGCTGGAGAAAGTAAACCATCATAGTATCATGGCCATGGTTTTGTACAAGTAGAATCCCAGCTGAGGGAAGACGAAGAAGTATTAAACTCTTTTATCTCATGGGTGTTATGGCTGAATTATGTTCTCCATCTCCAAATTTAAATATCGAAGTCCTAACCTTCAGTACCTCAGAATCTGACTGTATTTGGAGACAGAGCCTTTAAAGAGGTAATGAAAGTTAAATGAGGTTATATGGGTGGCCCTAATTCAATATGACTGGCATATAAGAGGTGATCGGGACAAACAGAGGGAAGACCAGGTGAAAACATAGGGAAAAGACTGCCACCCACAAACCAAGGAGAGAGGCCTCAGAAGAAATCACCCCTGCCAGCACCTTGATCTAGCCTCCAGAAATTGTGAGAAAATAATTATTTAAGCCCCCACTCCGTGGTACAGTGTATGGCAGCCCTAGCAAATAAATACAACGGCCTCAGCAAACTCTACATTAAAATATCTCCTTGGCCTCTGCTCAGATTTGAGCTCTAAAATGGGCCTGAGAACTCATACTGGCCAGATTAATTAAAAGGAGAAACTCAGAAAAATGAACATGAAGCCCATAATAAGTATTAAGGTCATTAATAAGACCTTGTGTTTTGGCGGGGGCGGGGTTAACTTACTCTAATAAGTTAAGGATTTATTCAAGGGTGTTGTTACATAGCTCACAGAATTTCCAGGACGGCCAGAGGCTCTGGCCTGAATGCCACATTTCCAAGAATAATGCAGAAAAAGGCAACAGGTCCGAGAGAAATGTCTAATCACACTGCAAATAGCGGATGTAGCAAAACCCCTCCCGCTGAGATCACCCCCTGCTCGGCACATAGAATGCTAAGAACTGAACACTGAAACTCCTCCACCCCTGAGGCCATCCCCCGTTCTGCAAAATCAGACACTCCCATCTCCTTTCTTGCCGGAGTATCCAAATCTCTCCAAACCTGGCCCTTTTTATTAGTTATTCATTTCTACCTCTAAGACTCGTTGAAGGGTGCCCGCTTTATGGAAACTAGGTCACGTATAACATCCTCCTGCAGGGAGTCAGGAAAATGTGTCTTTAACTTTCCAAACTACCTATAGATAGGAGAAAAGAAGCCAAAGGGTCTTGAGTTGGTATCTAGGGAGCAATCTGCCAGGAACTGTGCAGGGGATGCTGGCCTGTGCTAGAGCATACTGTTAGACCTCGCCCTCCCTCCTGGTGGGATCAATGAAGCATTGAGGCTATTGCATGGAGAGCTATCATATTGGGGATACTTACGTACCCCACTGTGGAGAGAGTTAGGTCTCTCCTCTTTGGAGCCATAGGTAATTTTTTCCCCAGTCTTCAGGTATAATTGACCTGTGAGCAAGCAGAGAAGGTGGGAACGCAGGTCTGTCTGCTGACAGATCTGTATCAAATTTCGGAGCAGAGAACCCTTCAGAGAGCAAATAACTCTTCTCCAAGCCACAGGTGTTTCTTAGTGATCCCCATGGAGGACGAGCTCACTGTAGAGTTCGAAGATGACCAGGCCAGCCAGGATCACCAGGATAGAGACCCATGGCCCTGTCCTGCGGGCAGTCCTGTCTGCAGGGGCCGGAGTGGCCCAGGGAAGCCGGCTTCTGGTAGTTGTCACCAGAATTCAGAATCTCAGCTGATGCTGAGTCAGGGCTTGTGCAGAAGACCCCTAGGTGAGCTGAGAGTTCGCTAAGTGCCACAGGTGACATGTCCTAATAATCATCTTGGAACATTCTAGAATCTTGAATTATTGTTGAAAAGAAAAGGGTAAGTCATTACTTTTTACATCAATAAGGGATATTGTGAAACTCCTTTTGATACCAACAGGACAGCATGGCATGATGGCCTGGCAGAAAGGTATTCTCAAATGGTTACTGGTATAGTCAGAAGCAGGTGCCCATGGACAGATGTCTGTGTGACAGGTGGCTCAGGGAACAGTGTAAATCCCAACTGCAGACCTGTCCACCAGTTCATGCTCTGCTGTTACCAGACCCTTGTTAAATTTTCCTGCTCACGATAACCGTAATTCCTTTTATTTCTTCCCAGCGATTTTTAAAAGTTTTGCAATCTTACTGCAAAACTAGGGCTAGCCAGTTGCCTAGCCCTTTTTAAGGTTTGGCAATTTTGATCTTTAAAGATCAAAAGAACGTCAATCGTTTAAGTGCAAGACTCAGCTGTGTGCGGGACACAGCATTGGGCAGCTGATTATTAAATAGAAAAAGGGGTCAGCAAAGTGATATTCCCAGCATTCTCAATTCTCTCCCCTCTAAATAGCTTCTTTTGTTAGTTCTTTTAAAGATAAAGAAAAGTTCCCCAAAGGTTTTTTTTTTTTTTTTCTGTTTTCTGGGCTCTGACATCCTTTAGGAATGAGCATGGCAATGCTCTGTGGATGAGCTTTGCCGGGCTAAGAGACTTCTGCCGGGAGAGTTGAAGGGGCAGAATCCCACCGCGTGGCTGGGGCTCCCTCCCCACTGAGACCCCGGAATGGGAGGGAGGCGGGTCGATAGCTGCTGCCCTTGTGTTTGACCAGAGAGAAGCGGCCAGGGGTACCTCGTGGGAGTTTTGCTCTTTGCCTTCAGTGGGAAGCGTTCTTATTCAGTTTGGTCTCAAGGTTTCGATTTTTATTCTTGTGGAAATCTTTGAACATCTGTATTTTATTTTATTTTACTTTGCATCGTTAATCCATCCTGAGTTTATTCTCGTATATGGTGGAAGAAAGCGATCTAGTTTCGTTCTTTTGCATGCGTCTGTTCAGTTTTCCCAACACCATTTATTGAAGAGACTGTCTTTGCTCCACTGTATGTTCCTGCCTCCTTTGTCATAGATTAATTGACCATATGGGCGTGGGTTTATTTCTGGATTCTCTATTCTCTCTTCTGTTCCACTGGTCTATGTGAACATCTGTATTTTACTTCCCATCCATGATACTGTATGTGAAGTGAGAAAAACTAATTCTAATCATTTCCAATTAGAATGATATCCATTATGTCTTCTGTAAACTGGAATCTGCAATGAATACCTACCTCATAGCACTGCTGCAAAGATGAAATGAAGTACTATCAGTAAAAATGCTTGATAGATATGCACTATTTTTAAGAGGATTTCCTTCCTGCCACATGAATTTCTTGAGATGGGTATTTCCCTCAACACATTTTCAACAACAACAAAAATAAAAGTGTGATAATCACAATAATAGTAAGTAGAATTAATATTTATTGAGAGCCTAGTATGTTTTGATTATAATTCAGTACATTATTCATACATGGTGTCATTGAATTGTCACAAAACCTCTGAAATGGCTACTATTATCGTTGCCAATTTTACATATGGGAAAACTGAGGCTTAGAGAGACCTAGTGTAAGGTAGGTAACACAGCTAATAAGCAGAGGGGCCAGGACTTAATCGCAAGGCAGTCTGACTCCGGGTCTCCAGCTTGATGCACAACCCCTGCCCCTGTGTCTATTGGACACAGTGATCTCAGTTTCTTATCTAAGAAAGGTAATGGATTTCAGACCCACTTATTCTTCCTAAACTTCTTCTGTTATGGTGGCTTTTCATCAGCGACAGAATCAGATCCTGGCTCCTTAGCAAGACACGCTTCTCAGGCATCAGCTGATTTGGCTCTTACCTGATCCTCGCTCCAGACACTGTCCCATCTACTGTGCCCCAGCCACACCAAACTCCCAGGGATGGCTGAATGAGCTGTGATTTCTTCTATGTCCATTTCTCTGTACCTGTGGTTCTAGAAACCTGTAAAGTATTCCCTCTTCTATACTTCATCCATTTCATTCTGTAAAACCTACCCTCTTCATTCAGCAAACATTTACTGTTTAGTGCTATCTGCTAGTGTTGGCGCCAGGGATAAATTAAAGACCTAGCTAGACCTATAATGCAGGAGGAGAAACAGAAGGACAAATCCCAAGGTACGGCACAGAATGACAAATGCTGTGCAAGAGAGAAGCATATGGTCCTTTGGCTTTGTTTCTAATTCATTCATTTATTTTTAAAATCTTCGAGGAGCCTGCATTGGAGCAGGCAGTGTGTTCAATGCTAGTAACACTAGACAGATTTCTTTCTTTCTGTTCTTTGGTGGTAGTGAATAAACAATAGTGACAGAATCAATCAATAATTAAAATGATAACTACATGTCAGAGTAAATTGTCTTAAAAACTAAACAGCCAAATGCCGGAGTGGCTGGGTTAGGGGTAGTGGGATGGTGCTGTTAGCGAAAGCAGGCAAAGCTTCTTTGAGACGTAACTTTTGAACTTGGTCTTGAAGATGGAGAAGGAGCTCGCCAGATTAATGGTTTCAATGAAACGAGGGGACGTTCAAAGTCTCTGAGGCCAAAATGAGCCTGCGTTCTTCAAGGACTAGAAAAGAGATCAGTGTTAAAACTTACCAGACTTCCCTTCTCAAGCATCAGGTTGCAAGGAGGGCTCACACGTCTGATAAGAGGACATTCTTTAGTCCCTAGGAAGTGCGTATTTGTCTCTGGGACACTGAATCTCTTGAGTACAGGAGCCACATCTCACTCGCCTTTCTAAGTTACTACATCTCATTGTCTCTCTAGTTCAGTGAATAGCATTGACTTGAATGAATGAATGAATGTGTCCAATTAAGTAGTCTTGGTCTGGCTCACTGGGACATATCATCGACTTATCCATCGGCTGCAAAAATGTACAGAGAAATCACTCTTAAAACACAGCGCACTCACCTGGAAGATTTATTGGGTATTTTAATCCCAACCTTATTAAAGAATTTTTAATCCTAATTGCCAGGACAGATGTGAGAACCAGGAACTATAAATATTTGTGTGGTTTACTCCGCACTGTGTGTCTGCTTTCATCTCCCTTGGCAGATTCCACGCTCAGAGGCTCATTAGCTGGGCACACACAAAACAGCTATATAATAATTAGTATTGAGGAAGGCTGCATAATAGAACAATGTTCATACTAATTAGTTACTGGGTTAAGGGACACCCCCCGCCCCCAAAGTTTTTGCATTTCTCTCTTCTAACTTTTCCTGGGTCGAGATGGATTGAGAATTTCTGCTTTGTCGTATCTATTGTCATCAGCATTTCTTAAACATCGTAAACGTCATTCCTATTTATTATTTGTGATGTGACAGACATTATGCTATGTCCTTAGCATGCACGGTCTTGCTTAATCCCCACAGCAGCCTCAAGGAGTTTTGTTCATATTTTGTAAAAAAAAGTACATTAAGACTGCAGCTAGTACAAGCTCACCCAGCCAGTGAGAGTTCAGGTTTGAACTTGAAGTCAGACAATAATCATGCTTCCCAAGCAATGCTCCCTGCTCATTGAGTATTCTTTAAAAAATTAATAATTTTGGTTTTTGTTTCTATGGTCATCCTAAAGTATTCATATGAGTATGTTTGAGGTGATTTATCATGGAGTCACGTCAGATAACTTTTGGCTCAAGCTGGTCTTTATGTAATAATTGCATCAAAGCCCATGATAACATTTAGCGCTACATTTCTCAAGGGAGAGTCCCTTAAAAGGGCTGCATTGCTGAGAGTAAGACATAGCGGTGCGAAGCACTCACTACATGCAGCGGCCTCCCAGGCTGGACCCTGGAATGGATTCAGGATCGCTTCTTCTCCGCTGTGAGATTCACGGCGACTCTGGTGCTTCACAAGGATCCGAGGCACCGCTGTCCTGGTAACAGGCACTGCCGGTAGAGACGCTTCGCACATACGCAGTGACTGCAGCCAGCTTTGCACCGATGCAAAGCCTCTGGGAACCCACAGGGAAATCAAAACACGCGGCACTATTGTTGCTCAGGGCACACGGGCAGAGGAAATAAAAAAAAAAATAAAGGCTCTTTCTGGAGGAGTAAATAATATTTGTAGAAGAGCTCGTCAGAGATCTGAAGTGCACGAATCAGGTAAAAATGTTCCCAGTGTCCTCCAAGTCAGGCACCCAGGGGACAAGGCCCAGAACTGTTGGCCAGAGGTTAACACACTCACAGTGATCGCTCTTGGGAGGCCTTCGGAAATTGTTTTCATTCTACAGAAAATAGAAAAACATGATTTTCAAATCTTCACCCAGATGCATAAGAATAATCAGTGAAGGCTGCTGTCTAAAAATTGTAGAGAAGTCTGGGGGATCTCTTCGGGTTTAATCTTTGCTGCTGCTGCTGCTGTAGACAGAGTGTTGGGTGCATGGGGTCCAAGAATCATGTCGGGGTGTGTGTGCACGGGACATAGCTCATTTGCTTGAAATCTGGAAGACAAGAGTGGAGATGAGGGAAAGGATTAGTGAGCATTTGCGAAACCATTAACGAGCATAAAATGCCATATGACACAGTACCAAAGTCACATTAAAATGACGTGTATTTCAAATTCTTAGGGACACATGAAAAAAACAACAAATTCACATGTATTCTGCACCTCTGCCACTAATGAGGGCTCTCGGAAAGATACACAAAAACGAGAGTGTGTGAAATCTAATTCAGCAATGTA